TTAAGACCCAAAAATATATATAAGCCCCGAACCAAACCTGATTGGACCCAAACCAAGGCCTGAACAGTGTGCGGGGTCTAAGATTTGGACTCGGACCGGTCTTTTCGGGTCTAATTTTTGGACCCATACCCAGGCTTGGGTCGGCTCTACCCTTTGGGTCCCTAGCCGGGTTGGGCTCTATTGTCACACCTAAATTATCCATGACCATATGGTCGAGATGATCAAATTTGATAATTTTCGAACATTAAAACAAATCTTTTGCTATAAACTCTTGAAGTTCGCCTAAGTTTCACATTGTTAAGTTGATTATGTGAACTTTTCCTCTCTCTCTAACATTAATTCATTTCAGTCCTCTCTCTATCCAGGAGAAGTATTTGCTACATATTCAGTCTTTCTTTCTAGAAAGTGGGATTTAGTACGATGACTACTCGCATTGCCCCTGGCGTGGGGGCGAACCTCTTGGGCCAGCACTCGGCCGAGAGAAACCAGGACGCCACTGCATACGTTGGAAATCTTGATGCTCAGGTTCATCTCTCTCTTTCTCCATTAATTTTCCTCTTATTTTCTCATATTTATTTCCCTTTTTTGTTGTTGCTTATTTCTATTGAAATCGAGGTTCCTCTAGTTTCCCTTTCAATTGGGTTTATCTTCTTTCTTTCTCTAAAACAAGCTATTTTATTTCCCTTTTTTGTTGTTGCTTATTTCTATTGAAATCGAGGTTCCTCTAGTTTCCCTTTCAATTGGGTTTATCTTCTTTCTTTCTCTAAAACAAGCTATTCTGAGTATGAACCTTTTTTTTTGGGTGCGCTCTGAAATGGTATTTTGTGGGGGCCTTTGGAAATTAGGGTTTGGTAGCTTGGTAACCAAATCGCCGAGAAAACTAGAGGAATTCTTGGACTTAGGTTTTGCACTGTGTTTTAGAGAGATGCTCTAGGATCTATTGTTCAGTTTATACAGATATATGGTTTCCATGTAAAGGTTTTGGTGAGATTAAATTCATTTGTGCACAGTCTCTCTGTATGAATACATATGAAGGTTTTGGTGAGAATATAACAACAGGAAAAATGTGAATTTTCTATGAGGAATTGGGCATCGGGGATTATTGCTATCATGTTTAACTTCAGTGGTTTGGAACAAGGATTGGGGTGGGGACTCGCTAGGGTTCCGAGCCAAATAATGTTGAACGAAAGGGCCTTGAACCCGGGTCTGGAAAATTGTACTTGGCTGAGTTTGTCAGAGACTAGTCCGAGTCCTAAAAATAATAATAATTAAATATTGGGAACAGGCAAGACCTGGTCGATTCTCATGGTTTTGGTCCCTGGCTCGGCAGCCGACTGAGTCTGAGTAACTCGGGCGAGTCAGAGTTGGACTATCCAAGTTTTGATTCACTGCTCATCACTATAGCTTCTTTTGTTGATAATTACCATATCATTGGCTTAGGAGAATCAAACATTTTGCATAGAAAGTGTAGACAAAAAGCCTCAAATCGTTATCACTAAATCCATGACTTCAACCTCACCACTTTTAGTGAAGTTTGACCCTATCATGCAGAGTTATTTCTTTGAATATGAAGGTCACTGGACATTGGTTCGTTTGATTTTTAATTCTGCAAAAGTCTTAAATTTGGTTTTGTATCTGTTATTTGTAGGTTACTGAGGAGTTGCTATGGGAATTGTTTGTCCAAGCAGGCCCAGTTGGTAAGTCACATGTTTTACTCAAACTGCACATTATATTACAAAACAAATAGTAGATGATTAAATTAGACTCTGAGTTTGATGGGGTAGCATTGCAGTTAAAGCATGATATTCACATTTGAATTATTTAAAATTTCTCCCAAAACTTTGAATTATTTAAATCATCATCAGTATTTTAGCCTTTTCCTAATTAATTGGGGTCAGGTATATAAATCTTGGTTCTCCATTCTACTCTATTAAAGGCCAAAACCTTATTGAGGCCATAAGTCCCCGTATCTTTTTGGACTACTTCCAACCATGTCCTTTTGGGCATTACCCTTTGCTCTTTTCAGTCCTTGTACTTGAGCTAATTCGTACCTCTTAACAGGTGTTGTACTTGGTTGGCACCATATATGGCGAGCCCACCTAAGTCTACTCTATCTTATTTTATTGCCTATTGGTGCCATGCTTAAATTCTCTCTAATAGATTCATTACGAATTCTATCCCTTCTTGTCTTGCCACTCATCCATCTCACTCCTCATCTTCGTTACACTCATTCTATGGGTATATTGTTTTTTGTCCGCCCAACATTCTTCCCCATACAACAAAGTTGGTCTCATTGTTGTCCTATAGCACTTGCCCTTCAGCCTCATTGATATGTGGCGATCACATAAAATTTTAGTTGCACATTTGCACTTCATCCACCCAACTCTAATTCTGTGTGACATCTTCCTCGATCTCTTCATTTTCTTGAATTATCGACTCAAGATATCTAATGTGCGGCCTTTTTTGTACCTCCTGGTCGTCAATCTTAACTATTTCCTCGTCTCTACTCCTATTATTACTAAATTTGCATTCCATATACTCTGTCTTAGTCCAACTAATTTTAAAACCTTTAGATTCTAGAGCATCCCTCCAAAGTTCTAACTTTGTGTTGACGCCGTTTCCGGTCTCTCCACTAGTTGTTCGTACACTAGTAACCGCTCCATCGTATATATCTCTCACCAAATCGATGTAGTGTCTAGAGACGCCTTTCCTTTCCAACACTCGCCAAATCAAATCTTGAGGTACTCTATCATAAGCTTTCTCTAGATTAATAAAGACCATGAAGAGGTCTTTTCCCTTCGCCCTAAACTTCTCAATCAGTTGTTCTAAGTAGGAAAAATAGCCTCAGTTGTTGACCTTTCGAGCATAAAACCAAATCGATTTTCAGATACACTCGTTTCATGCCTTAGTCGTTGCTCAATGTGACTCTCTCCCAGGGCTTCATAGTATGGCTCATATGCTTGATCCCTCGATAGTTTGTAGAATTATGTATATCTTATTTGTTCCTTTGTTCTTGTAAAATAGGTGCCACAATACTTTTTCTCCATTTGTCTGACATTTTCATCGTTCTCAACATCTTGTTGAACAATTTTGTTAGCCAGTCAATGCCAGTTTCCCCCATGCACTTCTAAACCTCTATTGCGATAATATCTGTTCCTAAAGCCTTTCCTATCTTCATCATTTTCAAAGCTTCTTTCACTGCCGATATCCTAATCCTACGAATGTATCTATGACAGTCCCTTCTACCACTATGTTCCTACTTTGAATTATTTAAATATGAACTTTAAAAGTTAGATAATTTAAATATGAATCATCCAAAATTTGATAGTTGCATCTCTTCTAAAAATTTGGATGGTAAATTGGCTGATTCTGCATTTTCTAGTTAATCCATTCGTCCATCTTTTGAGTTACTGTTGTTTTCTTTCAACAGTCAATGTCTATGTGCCAAAAGACAGAGTGACAAACTTACATCAAGGATATGGGTTCGTGGAATTCCGTAGCGAGGAAGATGCTGACTATGTAAGTTTTGACTATAATGGCTCTTTGCATATCTTATACACTATAAACTTGTTCATCTTTGGAACTTACTTATGATATACACACTACGAGGACATTTTTTAGTAGATTCGTAGGTAGATATCGATCTTCTAACTTTTGTTTGTTTGGTTTTTGTTTCATAAATGCAGGCGATCAAGATTTTGAACATGATCAAGCTTTATGGGAAGCCAATAAGAGTAAATAAGGTGAAACTTTCTGCTTCATCTAATTGTGGCCCATATGTTGCTCGTGTTTATTTTTTTGAGAATTATGTTGCTCCAGTTTTTATGATAGCTTTCACTTTATTATATGCACACTTGACTCATCCTTGTTCTTCTAAGTATTGAATGCAAGGCAATTTAGCTTCTTGGAATTTGATATTCATTGAAATTATGTTCTTTTTTGTATTCGTTCCTTTCTTATAACAGCCTTATACTTTGTATACCTTTCCAGTTCCCTTAGAGTTTCATGTATCTACTCAAATTTCTGTATTGTTTTTTGTTTTCCTTTTTTGTATAGTTCTCAATATGATTTTTTCAACACCACAATTCATGAATTGTGCTCTTTGGCAGTGATTTTGTGGTAGTTATGTGGATTGCTAATTCAGATAAGTAGCAGTATCTGTACGCACAATCACACATCCAGCCTTTCTCTACAACATCAGTTCTAGGTGGATATATATACTGCCCTACATCTTTTAGTAGGCAAACTACCACGCTTTCTAGAACTTGCATATGTAGTACAAGAGAGATAAAATGTTCATACATTGTTCTATACATTCAATTGGACAATATCTCCCTCAAATTGGTGATCGATAATGGAAACACTCAAGTCGCCCACTGTAGTTCACATTCTTTTGCCCCCTTATGCTTTGACAATCGAGCAACTAATCTTCCAGCAAGATATGACAATTGCAAATGTCTTTAGAACTCACTTACTCCCTAAAGAATTGGCCACCGATTTTGTTAAACTTGGTGTGCTTTTGGAGGTCTGACTGGGTTTAAACTTTGCACATGACTTTTAGAATCAGATCCAGGGTTGTCGAAGTGGACAACACGTCATTATTTGGGTGGACAGATGCTCAGTGGCCTATTTTCCTGGAGTGTTATCCAAGATCAGCATGCCTATCGCTTGAGTCTGAAGCTTCTAGTGAATACTGTCATTTATTAAGTGATAATAGGATGCTCTGGTGCCGTCGCATCCTGGAGGATTTCTTTAACCATGGGATAGAGTAATTTTGTGGCCTTTAGAAACTCCTAAGGGTAGTCTTTATCCTTTGGTGTCTTGACGACTACCTCAGTTGGTGACATGAGGCTATGGGGTGCTTCTCTGGGAGGTCTTTTACAGGAATGTTACTCCTTGATGACCTTCTTGTACCCTAGGTTACCTGATTTGGGCCACCCCCGTAGCCCTTGTATCATCTGTTTTGGTTGGTTTTTGGCCATGGATAAGTTATTTGTATTGTACACCACCTCTAGAATGTAGATTTCCAGTTTCCTTAGGGGTCGTTTGGTACGTATGAAAGTTTGGTGGGAAAACATATATGTGCAAATATTTACATACGCAAATAATTTCAAGATATACAAAAAACGAGTGGGGGTTATGAAATCTGCCCATTACAAAAGATTTTTCTCTCTCTCTCTCTCTCTCTCTAAAATTTCAATATGCTATTTTCTATTATCATCATCGTCAAAGCCTTTTCTCAACTCATTGACGTCGGTTACATGAATCCTGGTCCACCATTCTTCTCTATTATGAGCCATACCCTCAGTGAGGCTATAAATCCCCATATCTTTTCTCATTTCTTCTAACTATGTCGTTTTAGGCCTACCCCTTGTCCTTTTTGAGCCTTCCACTTGAACTAACTCGCACATCCTAACGGGTGTTGTAGTAGGTTTGCACTACACATGGCAAGCCCACCTAAGTTTACTCTCTCTTACCTTATTGCCTATTGGTGCCACACAAATTTTTTCGTATGTATTCATTTCGAATTCTATCCTTTCTTGTCTTGCCACCCAGCTATCTTACATCTTCATATCTGTTACACTCATTCTATGGGTATATTATTTTTTGACCTCCCAACATTCCACCCCATAAAACAAAGTTACCCTTCAGCTTCATTGGTATGCGGCGATCACATAAAATTCTGGTTGTACATCTGCACTTCGCACACTCAGCTCTAATTCTATGTGTGACATGTTATTCATTCTCTCCATTTTTCTGGATTATCAACCCAAGATATCGAAAATACAATGTTTTTGGTATTTCCTGGTTGTCAATCTTAACTACTTTGTCGGCTCTACTCTGATTATTACTAAACTTGCATTACATATACTCTGTCTTAGTTTGACTACTTTTAAAGCCTTTAGATTGTAGAGCATCTCTCCTAAGTTCTAACTTCGTGCTGATGCTGTTTCAGGTCTCATCAATCAAAACTATATCACATGCGAACAATATTTGCCGTAGTATCTCATCTTGTAGGTGTCTAGTTAAGTCGTACATGACCAAGACGAAGAGGTATGGGCTCAAGCTTGACCCCTAATGTAGACCTATCGTCATTGAAAACTCACTCGTCTCTCCACTAGTTAACGTTCTATTGTACATATCTCTCACCAAGTCGATGTAGTGTCTAGAGACTCATTTCTTTTTTCAACACCCACCAAATCAAATCTCGAAGTACTCTATCACAAATTTTCTCTAGATTAATAAAGACCGTGGAGGTCTTTTTCTTTTCCTCTAAACTTCTCAATCAGTTGCCTAAGTAGGAAAATAGCCTCTGTTGTTGACCTTCCTGACATAAAACCGAATTGGTTTTCTGATATATTCGTTTCATGTCTTAGTCGTTGCTCAATCACTCTCTCCCACAACTTCGTAGTATGACTCACAATTTTTACCCCTCGATAGTTCGCACAATTCTCTGTGTCTCCTTTGTTCTTGTAAATAGATACTACAATACTTTTCTTCCATTCATCTGGCCGTTTCTTTATTTTTTTTGGATCACATGAAGCACATTGTCATTTACATGCACTGTAAGTACTGCTGGCCTCGATATACATGGTGTAGACACTATTAATTTCAAAGCCCAGGCCTATTATGCTTGAGTTCATGAGTGTAGACCATGCTGTAGGAGTGGGTAAAATATGGGCAGGGGTAGGATGGTCTTCCAAATTCAAAGATCAATGCATGCACCAGTGGGATCCAAGTCCACAGCAATATCATGCACTGAAGGTTGTGACTCAACGAAAGCATTGTGGGAAGTTGGAACCTATCTGAAAACTATGAAGTTCAGGGGTCTGGAAGCTGGAAGATTTCATATTTGGAACTGGTAAATACTATGTGTGTTAACTTGTCTGGAAGTCCTAGGAAGTCGAGGATCCTCTGTTTGACTGAACCTGGATGTCTGGAAACCTTGAGATCTGGAAATTGGCCAGTTTTATCCCTAAACACAAAATATATTGAGGAGGCTTCCAGCTCGCCCCTTCCCGTGTAGCAATTCCTAGTTGACAAACTCTGAACAGCTACAATTAACTAGAACTTTCGGCCAGAGATGCCAAAAGTTCCAGTTGTCAAACACGCCATGTATGAGTTGAGCTTCAGAATCAAGATATTCAAGTCTAATGGAGTTCTTCCTTTTTCTTTTTTTTTTAACAGTTTGTTACTTATCTTTGTCAGGGTATTTTTTTTTGTTATGTTATTGTCTTCTGCACTAATCTTCTGCACTAGCATGTTCTCTTGCGATATATTATCCCGCTTCTTTATTGAAAATAAGAGGTTGATGTTGTTACCAATTGTCTTCAACACAAAGGGCGAAGTTTATTCATCCAAAATTATGATTCATAATTTTGCTTGCTTATTTTGGGTCTTTTCAGGCTTCCCAAGACAAGAAGAGCCTGGATGTTGGAGCAAATCTTTTCGTTGGCAATCTTGACCCAGTAAGATATTTATAGAGACATCTCTTTATCGTTATTCTACATCTTGCATGTTCAATGTAACACTTATTCTGTTATTTATCTGCAGGATGTGGATGAGAAGCTTTTATATGATACTTTTAGCGCATTTGGTGTTATTGTCACAAATCCAAAGGTCCTTGATTCTTTTCCTCTTCTTGAATTTGTAATTTTCCTCTAATAAGTTGGCAGAAATTTACTTTTGGACTTTTAGAATCATATGGAATGTGATTTAGTGTCTATTCTTTCCGTGGTGCATTGGCCTTTTTCGTGAGTTACATTTTGGGATTCTATTATATGTATTAATTGTGATCAAATGAAAAGAGCACCTGGCTTAAGTAGTATATCATTCGTGTTCCATTGTACCCACTTTTGATGGAACCTTCTTCTCAAGAAAAAGAGAAGTAGTTGCACTAATACTAAACCCTCTTTTCAAAAACAAAAAGAAAAAGTTGCCTGAAACCCTACTGATCCTAGTTGACATGATGGGCTAAGTGCCATTTCCAAAGCATGGCTATAGCGTGTTCGAACATCCACTGTTAAACATTGCGAATGAGGTTGAAGATGATGTGAGGCATTACATGACATCTCAGAAATCCATATTGACTAAATTCATTTCCGTTGTCGTCTGGAAAATTAATCAATGCATAAGGGAAGCTGGGGTCCTCCGATGCCAACCATTTCAGTTGGTTTCATCTAGAGCTTGATTTAAAATTAGTTTGCTATTCTATTCCCTCTCCTGTGTATAGATGAAAATTTGAAAACACACATCCTTGGAAGCTCTCTACTTAGTTTACGTGATTGTGATGATCGCTTCACATCCCTTTGTAAGAGCCTCATGCAAAGACTAGAACTACCATATAACCATATGTATGACAGTATATGTTGTCTCGCAATTCAAATTCCTTCTTGTGATGCCCAACTTTCTGCAGAATTTCATTCTCTTACTGTACTGTCTAATTTCTAATAACAACATTTATTCATAACTTATACTTGATGGTTGAAATCTTCTATGCAATGAGTAATTTGGTTCAAGTTGGGTAAGAACTAGCTAATCACGATTATTCCTTTGATGATAATGTCAAAATCAGGTGTCGCCAATTATACTTTTAATCACTAGGATTTGGGTTTTTGGATGTTCAAAACTGGGACTTCTGTGTCAGTCTCATTTTGCTTCCCCCCCCCTGCTCTCTCTCTCTCTCTCTCTCTCTCTCTCTCTCCTGATGGGAGGTTTGATTTTAGTGACATACTTGAGCTACACATTGTTTTTATGTGTCTTACAAATAGAATTGGCGCAATGAACCATAGAATTATTTGGTTTATTTTATTGTAATTGTCGACAGCTTGTTGTCTGATGGTTTCTACTGCCCCATCCCTGCACTTCATCTATGGATTGTATCATTGAAACTCAGCAGTTTCTTGACAATTCCGAAGGACCATAGATTACACAGGAGACATTATCTATAAGATATTATTGATTGTCAAAGAAGGTGCAGCTTTGCTATTTCATTTTGGTAGGGTTGTTGTTAACGATTGTGCTAAGCCTGTGATTCTGTATCCAACTTCAAGCTTCAAATAGAGATTAAAGATTTTAGTTGTCCTGACTTTCCTCACCACAAACGCAAATGAGTAATTATGCTAGTTACATTGTGGAGCATGTAGTGTGGCTCTCTGTGATTCTATTCTCTGAGTTTTATATGCTTCTATGGAACACTTAATTTGTTGCAGATAATGAGAGATCCTGAGACTGGTAATTCGCGAGGTTTTGGTTTCATCAGCTACGATTCATTCGAGACTTCTGACGCTGCAATTGAGGTATCTCAATTTGTCAACTTATGCTAATAAACTAAAAATTTTAAATATTTTCTGTTTTAGTCCTAATGCAAATAGAAAAGGTTCTTCATTGAGATCTCAATTTCTACAAGGTCATTTTTGTGCAGACTTCATAAAAAAAGATTGAAATTGCTTTTGTTTTTTAATTCTTACTTTTGCCATTGAACATGGTTATAATCCTTCCTTGTCTTTGCAGGCTATGAATGGCCAGTATCTTTGCAACCGCCAAATAACTGTATCATATGCATACAAGAAGGACACAAAAGGAGAACGCCACGGGACCCCTGCCGGTTAGTGGCTTCTCACCAGTTCCCCTTGTTTCTAAATGCTTATTATGGTCTTGTGGGTTCTAGATCTCGTGTTTCATTCTTCTCCTGCTGCATATATAGTTTTTGGGATTGTATAAAATGAGACCCTTTCCTTCAATATACAGGTTACAAACACCCATGGTATCTGATGTAAAATCGCATGAGACTTTGATTGCAGTAAATATTATACCCCTGCTGCTGGATTTTACATCTGAGGGCTAGGGATGATTGTTACCTCGTTATACCAAGCCAAATGGTCTATTATATATTTTCCCATTGTCTTTTATCTTTTATTCTCGTTTTTCTGCGGTGGGCACTTATTTATATGGGGAATGACCGTGAAGGTAAGTTGCTATAGGTTCCCTCTAGTAAGATTCTACATCCTTTGGATCCTATCTAACTTAGAGAGGCAAGGGTATGTTTGGTTACCTTTCCGCATCTCTCTATCCAACTGTTGTATACTCTTTACGATACTGACAACGGTGTAGAAATTTTCTTTGGAAATATTTCCCTGTACATGTATCCAATTATGCGCTTGGATAATGGCCATTGGGGATTGTATCCTACATGAAATTTATTGGGAAGTGGTGATTATGGTCCTTAACTTCGTTGGAAGTTCGCTTTCGTAGAAAGTCTGCCATTGTCTATCAACTGGAATGGTAGATCATCTCCATCATCGGTATTCAGCCTTAACATAGCCACCGACGGTGGAGATCGAGGTCCTATCTGTCTATTGTAGGATGAATATGGTGCTCCTACACACACACAGACACTCATCACTGTGTGACATGATGTTAAATCCTTGAAGATGCTCTTTAACTTGTATTTTTATTTTTTCGCAAAATTTGCAGAGAGGGTTCTAGCAGCGAGCAACCCAGCAGCACAGAGGAACCGGCCCCACACCCTCTTTGCCAGCGGGCCCCCCACTGCTCCACCACAGGCCAATGGTGCCATTCCAAACCCCCCAATGGCAGCACAATCACAGCCCCCTCCCCCGCCCCGACCATTTGCAAATGGCCTAGTCCCACCCGGTCAAATCCCAGCTGTCCGTCCCCCTCCCCCACCCCAAGGCACTGGGCCCTACCCCCCTCCTATGCAAATACCTGGGGGCCCACTGCCATCATGGCCAGGTCAGCAGCAAATGGCAGCTCTCATGCCAGGTCAGCAGTTCAGGGGCCCAACAAGGCCGATGCCACCCAATATGCCACCGCCACCTCAGCAGGGGCTACTTGCACGACCCATGCCTCCATCTATGGGCCTGATGGGCCAGGGCCAGCAGCCCATGTGGCAGCGTGGCCCACCACCCCCATCACAGCCAGGGATGCGGCTCCCACCCCCACCGCAGATGGCTGCGATGCCCCCTCCACCTCCGCCCCCGGTGAGCTCATCGACTGCTTGATGGGGGCTTTCTTTCATTCTCCTCAAAAATACATTCTCTCTCTCTCTACACAGTCTCAGGGTTGATAGATCTCTCCCCTAACTCATCTACTGCTCCACTCACGTAGGAAATATCCTCTCTCTTAACTATCTACTGCCTGATGTAATCCACAATTCACTTAGAGAACATTCGCTCTCTCTACTCAGTTGGAAAGATGAGGGGGATTGATAAGTACCATTCTACATGTTCATCTCTCCCGGATGGATCCTTGATTTCCTATCTAAGAAAACATGGGTTACCATATATGACACTCTCATGTCCTGAGGGAAGATCTATACTTTTGAAACAGGAATTGAAAGTGGGAGAGGCTGCCATAGATATCGAACGAGGGGGACGGTACTTAGTGTGAATGTAGGCATACAGATATTTTCATTTATTATTTTTCCATTCAGGATTTTGGGCATGCTACCTGTTTGTTATTCCAAGGCATCTCTTGCTACTCCTTTCCTCAACAAATCAAACAGCCTTTGGTGAGCCTACAGTTTATTGGGAAAGTGGATTCTCCTGTGATATTTTTAGGTTGATGTTTTAGGCTTTTGCAATTTGTTTATGGATATATGCTTTAGGCTTTTGCAATTTGTTTATGGATATATGCAACCATGTTGTGGGCTATATGCAGAATGCTTGTTGACATGTTGACTTTGAGTTTACTGTAACTTGGGCTGGCCTAGGTTTCAAATTTTGGCCCGGCAAAGAGAGTGAGGGTTGAATCTTTTGAGAGAGAGAGATTGTATTAGCATGTGTACAATTCTTTTCAAGAGAGAGAGATTGCATTAGCATGTGTACGATTCCTTTCAAAGAGTTATAGGGTTAAGCACAAAGGGAGATAGGGTTAAGCAAATGCATTACAGATATAGCTGTCTAGCTAGCCACATATTATGTCTATCTATCGTAGCTCCATTATATTGGTGCCATATCATCTTCTGTAACTAAAAATTCTCTCTAAAATTGATTTTTTGACAGAATGAAAAGGACATAATGTAGAATCGTAACCATAGAGTATGACCTTAATCGAACTGCATATATTTGTCTTGTGCACTATAGGAGAATCGTAACCATAGAGTACAGCCTTAATCGAACTGCGTATGTTTGTCTCATGCGCTATGGGGATGGAGGAGAGAGAGTTTCTTTTGAACTGTGACTGGGACCCTACATTGGGGAGACGTTTTTGGACATGAAACCTTGAGCTTGGGCAAGGACATGAAAGTGATCAAAGAATGCAAAAAGAATATGCAGACTAAGAAAGGGAAACTAGGAAGAGCTTTCACGGTCCAAGTCCTATCATCACCTAAATTATGCGAAGAAAGGGACCCTTTCCATTGTGACCCTGATCATAGCTATGTACTAGCTGCCTTTTGGGTGAGTGATCTTAAATTTTATATTGGTTAAGTGTCTCTCTCAAGGATTTCACAAATATCTCTTTTTAAAAATCTCTCATATCTATCTCTCATAAATGATTGAGAGAGACATTGTTCATATATCATAATACAAAGAAATATACCGAGAATAGCAAAAAAAATCAACATAATAAAAAGAAATATACTGAGAATAGCAAAAAAAATTGAACATGATACAAAGAAATATACCGAGAATAGCAAAAAAAATCAACTCAAACTTATTGATATCGATACCAGTAATACGATTGGTCATCCAATAACCATCAAAATAGACCAAGGTTTTGCCTAGAGAGAGTTTATGATGGAGACAAAAGTGTAGAAAAAAAGAAGATGAGAAAAGAGAGAGTAGAGTGACAGAATGCAGAAAGCGAAAGTAGAGACAGTGAGGGTGAGGAGAGAGAGAGAGAGAGAGAGAGAGAGAGAGAGAGAGAG